CGGCCGAATAAAAAACGCATGTCTCTAAAGGATTTCCCATAGAAGCCTCGTCGGGGGGGGGGGGGGGAAAACGTCTCAGAACAAATAGTAGAGAAGGAAGAGGAGGAAATCGCTTGAAACATCCTCGGACATCTTAATACAATTGCACAAATCGCATGGGGCATCCTCGCAATTCTTCTTGGAACTAACCAAATCGCTTGAGACATCCTCACATTGCTTAACAGAATTGTCCCAAATCGCCTGGGCACCCTCACATTTCTTATTAGAATCGGCCAAATCGCTGGAGACATCCTCACATGTCTTAATAGACTTGGCCAAATACCGTAAGACATCCTCGCCTTTCTTCTTAGGATTGGCTGAATCGCTTGAGACATCCTCACATTGCTTAACAGAACTGCCCAAATCGCATGGGCCATCCTGACATTTCTTAGTAGAATTGGCAAACTCGCCTGAGACATCTTCGCATTTCTTAATCAACTTTGCCAAATCGCCTGAAACATAAGTTGTTCATTGGGCCTCTATCCTCATTCGTAGTCTGCGAGGGTCGCTGCTTTGTTCGGAGTACCTCGATTCCATGTGGATCGGTACCTCACGAAAGTGTTCAGGGTTGATCGTGAGTACGTCGGCGGTGAGGCTCTCTTCGGGAAAGTGGGCCACTGCATGCACGCTCACCAGGAGGATCAGGAGATCAGCATCTTAGACGATCAGATGACTAACAGGTGCGTCCCAGTCAGCGCGGTCGTTGAGGTGAATAAGAAGTTGCCTAAGCCGAAAGCACTTCTGACGTTCGAGCACGTGAGCAAGAAGATGGAATATCAGATGCTTGGCAGACTCGGCATGGTGAGCGCGGACTCAGCACCCCCAGTGGAAGTAAAGAAGGATTCCGCACTCGTGGACGGACAAACCATTCAGTTATGGTCAGTTCTCCTGGAGCACACCTTCCCTCAGGCCAACTTCTTCACCTGGTCACCTGATATCATGCACGTGTATTTCTCGGCACTCAGGGATCAGAACGAGGTGTGTCAGAAAGCAATGGAAGAGGCCATGAGGAGAGGTCTCAATCGATACGATAAGATATCCCCCCACACACACACACACACACACCCTTCAGTGTCCTGAGGGCGCTGGGGAGCACAATATGGGACACTGGACCCTCCATGTCGTTGAGGCGAGGAACGAGGGCATCAGTCTAGCAGAGCCGCGCATCAGGTATTACGAGACAATGAACGAAATCAATAAGGTGTGTCTGGACAGAGCCCATCAGATCTTGAAGGCAGTCGTGCCAGACCTCAGCCAACAGACGCTAGTAAGCGCGCTCAGCAGACACCAGATCTTCAGGCAATCAGGTACCGACTGCGGCTATTGGGTCATGCATTACATCGACGTGGAGATCAGGAGACTGGCAGGTGAGGGAGGAGCTCCAGTCACGACGCCTAAGGACAGGAAGAAGGCTGTCATCAGTAAGTGCGTGAGCGCCGCGAAGCAGCTGGAGAAGGCGCGGGGAACCTGGCTTCAGGAAGCAGCCATTGAGGAGGCGAAGGGCAAGGCTGCGCAGCAGCACCTTCAGGCCAAAGCAGATCGGAAGCAAACCGAGCAGAGGGGGGCAGAGGAGCTGAGGAGAAGGGCTGAGGAAGCAGCCTTGGTCAGCAACTGGTGCAAGACGCTGCCAGATGCCATCCCTGAGGAACCGAAGGAAGTGAGGGGGAGGTTGAAGCAGGAGGCGACTCAGGCATTGAAGGGCGAAGTTAAGGCCACTGCGCAGAAAATCCTGGAGGCAGAGGCCGAGGCCCTCAGTGAGAGGGCCGCCGAGGAAAAGGCTCCGAAGAAGGCGCCGGATAAGGGGCAGGAGGCGCAGCAGGCGGATGAGGCTCAGAAGGAGGCGCAGGCGCAAGCGCATAAGGAGGAGAAGGTGCAGGCGCAGCAGGAGGCGCAGCAGGAGGAGAAGGTGCAGGCGCATAAGGTGCAGGCGCAGGCGCAGCAGGAGGAGAGGGTGCAGCCGCAGAAGGAGGCGCAGAAAGGAGGCCGCAGCACCGAAGGAGGGCGCAGAGGAGGAGAAGGTGGAGGCGCATCAGGAGGCGCAGAAGGAGAAGGCTCAGAAACAGGCGCAGGAGGAGCTCGCAGCGCTAGGTCATAAGCAGAAGGGCGAGAAGGGCTTCGAAGCATGGTTGAGAGGCATTTCCGAGCCAGTCCTTGAGGCTGCTTTCCATCAGGCTCAGTTTACATACGTAAACAATGACGAGTGTCAGGCATACGTCAGCCACATGAAGATGATTCAGACCGTGCAGGTGTGCGCCAAGTGCGAATGGACTTCAGGCTGGTGTTCCTCCTCCTCCTGCTCCTCCTCCTCGTCCTCCTCCTGCTCTTCCTCCTCGTCTCCCTCCTGACCTGGGGCTGCGTCGCGCGCAGCTACCCCCGCGCCCCGAGGCACTGCATCAGGCACGGCAGGCCACCTGCGTGGTGGGGGATGAGCGCGATGAGCGCGCTCAGGGGCATGTGCAGGTGAGCGTTCCTAAGAGGCCGCGTCTGGCGCTGTCAGAGGGAAGGGGAGGGTCTCACCTTTGTTTTTCATATTTCTTTCTCAGCTCTCCTTACTTTCTCTCAGCTTGCTCTTCGCTTTTCTCAGCGTTCCTTAGATTTTCTCAGCTTTTCCTCAGCTTTTCTGAGCTTTTTCTCAGCATTCCTTAGCTTTTATCGTGCAGATGTTGCGCTGAGTTTCTCTCAGCAATCTTCAGGCCACAGTTCAGAGATCCAGCGCCTCAGCGCAATACTTCTGGCTGCAGTTCCACCGGTTTCAAGCTGGGGACACGCTCAGCGCACTTCAGGCTGGAGTTCCGGTCGCCTGCCCAGGCCAGTAGCAGGAAAAACGGTCATCATCATCGCGCAGATCTTGTGCTGAGTTTCTCTCAGCAATCTTCAGGCCACAGTTCAGAGATCCAGCGCCTCAGCGCAATACTTCTGGCCGCAGTTCCAGCAGGTTTCAAGCTGAGGGCTCGCTCAGCGCACTTCAGGCTGGAGTTCCGGTCGCCTGCACAAGCCAGAAGCAAGAAAAAAGGGTCGTCATCATCGTCAGGTCATCATCGTCAGGTCATCATCGTCATCACGGTCATCATCGTCATCACGGTAGCAGTAACAGTTACAGTCACGAGACGCAGGAATTATTTATTGTCCTTTCAAGTGCGCGGTGCTAATTATATCGTTCGGCGAAAACCCCCCCGAATAATTATGAAATTTCGGAGTTGTGATATGTATAACCCCGGGGGGATCCTTAATCGCTGGGTTAGGTTATGCCCGAACGACCCGGATTGGCCTCAGGACTATGCCCGAACGACCCGGATTGGCCTCAGGACGATGCCCGAACGACCCGAATGGCTTCAAGACTATCCCCGAACGGCCCGGATTGGCCTCAGGACTTTGCCCGAGCGACCCAGATTGGCCTCAGGACTATGCCCGAACGACCCGGATCAGCCTCAGGACTATGCCCGAACGACCCAGATTGGCCTCAGGACCATGCCCGAACGACCCGGATTGGTCTCAGGACTATGCCCGAACGACCCGAGCACCCGCTCGAGCGAGCGAGCGAGCAAGCGAGCGGACCTGCAGCCGCGGCGGTCAACCTTGCCGTCACGGCGGCCAAGCCTGCGGCCGCGCGCGGCTGCGGCGGCCTAGCCTGGGGGCTCGCCCGCTCGCACGCTCGCGCGAGCGAGCTAGCGAGCAAGCGCGGTCACACAGCCATGCCTGCGCCCGCGCGCGTCTGCGGCGGCCTCGCTTGGGGGCGCCCGCTCGAACAGCCGGCGAGCGGACCCGGCTCGCCCGCTCGAGCGAGCGAGCGGACCTGCTGTCAAGGCGGCCAAGCCTGCGGTCGCGTGCGGCTGCGGCGGCCTAGCCTGCAGGCTCGCCCGCTCGCTCGCTCGCGCGCGCGCGAGCGAGCGAGCGAGCGAGCGAGCGGCCCCGGCCCGGATTGGCCTCAGGACTACGCCCGATCGATCCGGATTGGCCTCAAGACTACGCCCGAACGATCCGGATTGGCCTCAGGACTATGCCCGAACGACCCGGGTTGGCCTCAGGATCCTATGCCCGAACGGCCCGGATGGGCCTCAGGACTATGCCCGAACTAGCCGGATTGGCCTCAAGACTATGCCCGGACGACCCGGATTGGCTTCAGGAGTATGCCCGAACGACCCAGATTGGCCTCAGGACTATGCCCGAACGACCCAGATTTGCCTCAGGACTATGCCCGAACGACCCGGATTGACCTCAGGACTATGCCCGAACGACCCAGATTGGCCTCAGGACTATGCCCGAACGACCCGGATTGGCCTCAGGACTATGCCCGAACGACCCGGATTCGCCTCAGGACTATGCTTGTGAAGGAATACGGCAGCTAAAGAGGCTCATATGGGAAAACATTTAAGTAACCTCTGGAAAACCTGAAAGTAACTCCAGGCAAATTCATAAATGTATGGTTGTTTTAAAGCTCCAAGTAAGTACGAAAGCACGGGGCCGAGGAAAGCGAGGCGCGAGGTTGCGTCGAGAGCTCCCCCGCGCCATCTGCGGGCACCCCGCGCGCCTCTGCCGCCAAGGGCGCTGCGCCAGATCCGCTCTTATGGGGCGCAGTGCGCGCGCCCCGAAGCCCCCAGGACGGCGGAGCAAGGGGGCGGGCCTCCCTCCTGCGCGCCATCTCGCCGACTCCCCCTCGTCCACCACCCTCCCCCATTGCGTGGCGTCGTTTGTGGTGTTGGTTTTTGCGCTGATGCACTCGGTGCTCCAGCGTGGCGGCGCTGTCGGTGGCGCGGCGACGTCCACGCAGCAAGCAAACTTGGTCGTGCGAACGTGCCGCTGGTGCCCGTGGTTGGTGCTTGCGTGTGCATGTGTTGTGAACATAGCATAACATAACATATCAAACTTATACAAGAACATGTGCACCACATACCACATGGGCTGGCCCCGTCGCTCTGACAGCGAGCTCGAGGGCTGGCGGTGGCTGGCAGGGCGTCGCCTACCTACGTCTTCTTGAGGGCCTGCATCGCCCTGGCGAGCAGCACAGGGTGGAGAAGCTCCTTCTCCTTTTTCATTCCCGTCTCCCTGCGGAAATGAAGCATTTCGCTCTGGACGGCATCACGGAGCGGACCGAGGTCCGCGATGGTCTTGACCTTGTGGCAGAGGACGCCGCTGAGTTTCGTGATGTGGCCATTCAGGATGGTGTTCTGCACTTTGCCGACGAGCTGCGCGTCGGGCTCGCCACCGCCAACTGCGGCAGCAGCTTGGTACATCTGGAGGGCCTCGCGATGCCGCAAGCGGCGAGACGCGGCCATCGTCCTCTCGTTGCCTCCTTTCTCTCCTCGCCTCCTGCCCCCCCTTGCCGTTTGATTCCCTCTCCCGCCTCTTCTCCTTCCTTCCTCTCCTTGCCTCCTTCCCCCTTGCGTCCTTCCTCTCCGTGCCTCCTTCCTCTCCTTGCCTCATTCCTCTCCTTCCTCTTTCTCTCCTCTCCTTCTAGGCCCGCCGTGCGAGACGCGGCCCTCCTCCTCCTCTCCTTGCCTCCTTCCTCCCCTCGCGCTCCCCCCCGCAACGCCTTCTTCGTCTCGTCGATGCAAGACTCGAGCGCCTTGGGGTTGAGCGCGAGCAGCGTCACCTCGGCGTGCGCCAGAAACTCGTCCCAGCTCTTGCCTTTGAACGACTCCTGCCACGGGATCGTCTGGTCGCCGTCGCCCTGCTGCGCGCCCTTGGCCATGTCGGCCAGGCAAGTGGCCACCTTCACGAGGACAGCAATCGCCCCAGCCAAGTTGGCGCTCAGGATGCTGCGCAGGCGGTCCGAACTCTCGGCGTAGAAGGCTTTGATCCTGTCGGCGGTGTAGCTGGCCGCGGGTGGCATTGTCAAGCTCAACTCGGCGAGCTCAGACGCCGCCTGGGTGAGTGCCTCGAGCTTGGCAGGGAACTCAGCGAACGCCGAGATGCCCTCGACCAGCTCATCCTTCGTGCGCATGTCGGCGAGGGGCGTCATCATGCCCCATGCGTCCAGCATGTTGATCGTCTTCTGCAAGTGGGCGACGTAGAAGGTCTGGCTGGCGCGGTCACCCAAGAGCTGGGTCAGCTTGGAGGCGAGGTCCAGGACGTGCAACGCGCCAGCCATGTTGAGCAAGCCGACGTTGGCCATTGTCATCTCGTACGCCACCGACTCGGACAGCGCAGTGGCGCACTCTGAGATGGTCGCGATCTCGGCATCCTTGAGGGCGCTGCACTCGATGAATGCGCCACTCACTGCGTTGAACAACGGCTGGATCTTCGACGCGACGAGCTCCAACGTGGATGCATGCGGGCCGCGCGTGGCGACGTCGAGGACCACCTCGCACAGCATGCAGATCGCCTCGATCTTGGAAGCCTGATCGAACTTGGCCAACGACGCAGCGCTCTGGGTCTGCCACTCGTCCACCTGCCTGTCGTGCGGCAGCAACGCAGACGCCTCGGCGAGCACGGCACTCCACCTCTGCATCGTATCTGGCCCCGCAACAGAGGCAGCGAAGCGGGCGTGCTGTGCAGCGAGGGCGGCTGCCACCTTACCGTCCAGGAAGTTCACCGACTGAGGGCGCAATTGGGCCTTCATTATGGACACCTCCTTGATGTGCTCGGCCAGCGTGTCGTATGTGCCCGCGCCTGCCTCGAAGGTGTCGGCCCAACTGCTCAGCTCGGCGACGCGCGCGTGGTACTTGAGCAAGCCAGGGGCGTACTCGATGTAGTCGGACAGCATCTGGGAGTACCACGTGTCGGAGTCGACCGCCGCGGCAACGACCGTCAGGGGCGACCCGGTCGTCTTGGCAATGGCGGCCTTGAGGCGCTGCGCGCACTCCTATGGCCCCCGAAGGGGTCGGGGCCAAAGCAACGTTCAGTTCGGCGCGGTGGTTTGTTTCGGGGGGCGGCTACGACCCAGCGAGGGTCTGGACGTAAGTACCGGCTGCGTTCAGCGACCGCTGATCTGGCCCGAAGGAATTGCAAGACACACCAAAAACGCCACTTGAAAGTACGCCCGCCCCTAGCTCCAAAAACGCAGCCGTGCGTGTTCGAGCCCGCGCGGGCGCGAACGCCCGACGAAAACTAGGACCTTCAAGGACCGAAAACAATGGTTGAGGACGTTTGGCCCTGGGGCAAGTACCGAACACCAACGCAGATGAAATGAAACAACCACGCTGGAATGCGGAAAAGCTCCTCCTGGCCACTAGCGCAAACTAGGTGGGGTGGTGGCCTGGGCCCGAGAATCCTCCAGCTCGGGGTCCAGATCCAAGCACGCGAGCGCGTGCGCGGACTGCCGCGCGTCGAGGCACTCCGATATGCACGCGCCCGCGCTCGCGTCGAGCTCCAAGGTGTCGACGTCCTTGAACCGATCGATGCAGAACTTCAAGTAGGTCTCCACCTGGGCGCGTGAGTCCATGCCCTTGGCGAGCATTGGGGCCAGCATCGCATCAACTGAGATGTGAACCAGCAGCCTCGTCTTGGCGCCCATCGGCGGCTCGATGTCACTCAACCGAGGGTTCTCAGGGTCGAAACCTGAGGCCAGCTCTGAAGTAGTGAACGGGTCCAGGGCATCAAAGAGACCGATCAGATTCCCCAGCTGCTGCTGGTCAGCGATCTTCATGTGCAAGAGCTTCTCGCTGGTGCCCAAAGGAAACTTGACCTTCTCATCCTTCATCTTGCCCAGGTAGATGGCCAGCTCACTTGTCTCGATGCCCTGAATGGTGGCAGGTTGGAGGGCCTGGGCCATGAGGATCAGCTTGATGAAATTGTTCAGCAGCTGCGCGTCCAGCCTGGCAGCCTGGTCATCAGCAGCCATCTTTCTACCTGCTGCCTTCTTGCACGCACTGATTGTCCGCCCGTCCACCTGGCCGTCCATCACCAAGGACAGGTCGATCTTGCTCTTCCAGTACTCCACCGTGTTGCTGCCTGGCAGGCAAGGCGGGGCCCCTCGATCACACCACTGCCATCCAACCTCCATTATCCACTCCTCCTCCTCCTCCTCCTCCTCCTCCTCCTCCTACCACTGCTCATCCCCCATCGTCGCCAACATGAAATAACTGCGGGTGTCTGGGGCGCCAGCCCACGAAACACGCAGTTCCCTCGAGCGAGGGAACTGCGCATTTCTTTGATATACTGATGTTTGGACAGGGACCCCAGGGCAATAAAGGCCAAACATGTTACACCTAACCAGAACTACACATTGACCATCAATGTGTAGTTCGGCGCGCGTCTCGGGCTGAGCCCCGCGTTCATACATGCACAATTCTATCGACGCAACGATCGCGGCTAGCCTGCACTGCCAGCCTCCATGAAGCCAGCGGTGGGCGCCGCGCCCCCGTCCTCGGACATGCCGCCGCCGAACTGGGACGCCGACTCTCTCGGGGGCCCGCCGACGCAGCTCGCCGAGCCCGCAACGCCCGAGCCTGCGCGCCGAAGGAGTTCGGCCTGCTTCGGCGGGGTGCCGCCTGGAGGCAACGCCTTGCCCTTCTGGCCGAGAGGCGCAGGAAGGGGCGCTGCGCAACCAACCAGCTCGACGTCATCATCGTCTGCAGGATCATCTGATGCGCCGCCGCCTGTCGAGCCGTCGGCAGCTGCGCCCTCGCCGCCGCCGCCCGCCTGACCCTCGGTGCCGCCCTGGGTGTTCTCGCCGAGCCTGGACTGCAAGAAGTCCTCCAGCTTCCACAGGTAGCCCATCTTGTCCTTGGTAATGATGTTCATGATGCCCTTCCCGTTGTGCATGAGCTGCGTCCTGTGGGTGCTCATCACGGGCCCCTGGTTGGGCCGCAGCTGCTTCGTGCGATCCATGGCGAAGTGATCGCGGGAGACGCCTGTCCGCGATACCACGTCCACGGTCCTGTAGGGCATCATCGGGTTGACGAACCAATACGCCATCTCCCAGCCATCCTCATCCTCCTTCGGCACCTCCGCGGTATACAATGAGCTCGTCGCAGCCTTCGTGATGCGCCTAGCGCCCAACGCCTTCCTCAAGTCGGACTCCGTCAAGACGATGTACGACCTCCTGGACTCGATCGTGTGCTCCGTGCGCTCGGCGACCTCCTGGACGGGATTCGGCGGCGGCTCGTGCTCATTGAACACCTTCCTGGCGGTGATCACGGACTGCTTGATCTCCTCGTCGCTCTGGCTCAGCTCGCAGAGGTCGTCCCACTCCAAGTGGCTGAGCGCGTCAACCCACAGGGAGAAGCACTCCTCGCACTTGTTGCCCATCGCCACCTCCATGGTCCCTGCGGTCTTCTTCTGCAGCTTCCTCAGCGCCCAAGGCTTCCCGCCCTACTGGCCCGCCCGCACGCCCCCGACCTCTCGCGAACCCCGCGCGCGAGGAGGGGCCGCGAAAGGGGTTCGCGAGCGGCGTCGGGGGCGCGCGGGAGGACGTGGGTGAGAGGCAGGGGGTGGCCGACGGCCCGACGCGACCAATGTCCTTGGCCATCGCCTTGCACAGGCCGCACTGACAGGAATCGCCCACGGGCCCCTTCCTCATCGGCGCCCTCTTGGCAGGGATCACCCCGACGACGGGGCCCGCCGCCGATGCCGCGGCGCTGGCCGCGCTGGTGGCGGCAGGCGTCCCAGGCGCAGGCGACTTCGCCTTCGAACCTGCTGGCGCCCTCTTCGTCGGCCGAGGCTTCGGCGGGGGCGGAGGCGGCCCCACAGCAGACCTGGCCTTCTTGGGTGGATGCCCGCCGCCAGGCATGGCGAGGGGGCGCGTCTGCGCCGGGCGCTGGGTGCCCCAACCTCCTGCCTGAAGCAACTCAGGAAACTCATGCGCCAAAACGGCTGCAACTGCCCGAGATCGCCCACGCTAGGCCCCATGGGCCGCCCCTGGACGCTCGGACGCAACAAATGCCACATAACGCCTTTACTGCCCCCCCCCCTGCGGCGCCAATGGCAAACCGAGGAACCGCAGTGAACGCCGACGGCTCCGACGACTGCCCCTGCCCCAAGCTCGCCGCCGCGGCCTGCCCCGACGAGCGGAGGAAAGCGGCGAACGTTGCGCTCTGGCACGCGCGCCCCCCCCCCCCCCCACCTCGACGCCAAACGTGCCCATCGCAGCCCCCTGAGGGGCCGCCTTGCAACCAAACGAATGACAAACGTGCAAAGGCCGCGATGCTGAGAAGACGGGTGGCACGCCCAATCCTGCCACTGACGCAACTCCGACCGTAGGCGCCCTGAGGCCAACACGGCAGCCATGCCACATTCGGCAGCGTACAGACCCTGCAACCATAAGTTCACACACGCCATGCCTACGCACAGACCATGAAAGAAAAAAAAAAAACAAAAAAAAAAAAAAAAAAAAAAAAAAAAAAAAAAAAAAAAAAAAAAAAAAAAAAAAAAAAAAAAAAAAAAAAAAAAAAACGCGCCCCCGCACACGCAAGCCATGCACGCACACGCGCATGATACGTTTGCCTGCGTGGCGTGGACACCAAACAATTGTTTCTAACATTACACGCGGTGCAATGCATGCGGTAGAACACATGACGTACAACCTACGATGCAAATTCCAGGAAGAACCCGTAAGTGCAAGCACTGTTTGGGGGAACTGGACGGTGTGCTGCTGCGCACAAACGCACAGCGTGCCGTGCCCCTCCCCCCCCCCCCCGCAGCCTCCCGCGGCGGCGCCCTGGTCGCGCCCGCGCGCGCACCCCCGATCGGTCGACGGATTGCCAGCCGTAAGTTCCTACCGTCAAGCTAAATACTGGTTGCGCATGGGGTGCGGGCGTGCACGGCTCTGGCCAGACAATCGGTCACAGTGCACAACTTCGCACAAGTGGCACTGGTAATCCCATCGCACAAGCCAAAGTAAAATGATGTGCACCCACGGGCCAACCAAGTGTGCGACGCGCGACAACACTGTTGTATTACCATGTACTAACGCAAGGGAAACACATACATCATGGATTCGCCTGCAACACATACAAGGGAACCCCTACACAAAAAGTGAAGAAACAATACGTATAAACCCGTTAACAACACAAACACAAACGCACAACGAAGCTGGCACCGTTGGGGTAACGGAAACCGCGGACACTTAACAGCATCGGCGGGCGGGGGTGTGCACGACGTGAACCCCGAAAAAGAATGTCGCTTGCCACGTTTGTGCATACGATGGCGGAACACATCGGCATGGTGGATTCTGCGGGCTGGGCGCAATCGGCGCACCGCGTTTGTATTGGACAGGCGGAAGGAAAACAATGCTTGGGAAACGCAGCTTGAAAAGTGTTGCCGAAAAAAAAAAATGTAAAACAAAAGCGCGCAAAGCAAACGCAGCGCGCTTCCGCACGCACACCGCGCAACCATCGGCAACGCTGGCTTGAAACATTGCCATGTGGCTTTCCGCGGCGTCATCGTTCTCACAAAGGAAGAAACGCTAACGACATGACGCGGTCGAACACGCATGCTTCGAGATGCGCGGTGCGTATTGAACGCTGCCCATCTTGCTGCAAAACGCGCGCGCGTTGCTCCCCTCGCAGCCAGCCCCCCCCCCCCCCCCGACCACGGTGCAAGCCCCCTCGCGCGGGGGGGGCAGGCGAGGGGGCGACGGGCGGAGAGGGGGGGGGCTGCGGTGGAAGGGGGCAGGTGCGAGGGGCGATGCTCATCGCGGTCCATGGGGCCCTGGATGTTGCAGAAGGGGGGCATGGCCATGTTGGAACGGGCGGGGTGCAATTCGAAGAAGCCCAAGAAGCTGCCGACGCCCCTGGGGAGGCACTGGCGAGGGGCTGGGGACACACCTGAATACAAGCAGCAGCGGCAGCTGCGGGCGGCAAGCGCCCCTGCCCACGATCGAGCTTCTGCGCCCATCAAGCTTTACGGACAGGAGCTGCCCTGTGCGACTGTCACGTTTTCGCAAAGTAGCTTGAGGGCCGTGGCCGCCTGTCGGGCGCCGACGCGACCTTGCCCACTGCTGGTTGTCGGGGCAACAGTGTTAGCAACCAAGGGTTCTTCGCAGTGCTGCGCGTTCCTTCGGCGGCGCTACTGGAAGGCAGCCGCCGCGCGTCGGGCCTGGAAGCCCTCGTGGGTTCCAGGGGGGCCGACCAAAAAGGGCCAGCGCCCCAGCGAGCTCCCAGCGCCCCCGCCGCGGTCGCCCCCCCTCCCCGCTCTCCTGCGCGATCGCGCGCGCGATCCCCAGAAACGCACGGGGCGCTACTGGCCTCGCCATGCCCAGGCGCAAACGGGGCGCGCGCGGCGCCGCAAATGGCCCGCGCGGGCTGCGGCACCAGCACCGTCGACCGATGGCGCGGCGCCGCAAAGCACGCAATCCGCGACGCACGGGCAACACGTCCTTCCCGCGCTCGCGCGTGCCAGTCCTGCAGCAGCGCGCGCCCGCGGAACGCCGCCCCCGCCGCCATCGCCCTGCCCTGCGCTGCCGTCGTTCTGCCGAGCCATTGCGGGTGCCGCCAGCCCGCGCGCCCAGCCAGCAGCGGCGGCCCAAAGCCAGGCTGCGTCGTGCTGGCTGGGCTGGGGCGGGCCTGTCTAGGCCCTGGCCAAACTGGTTCGCGCCCAAACACAGCTGGGAAAAAGGATGGGCGTTGTTCGGCTGCGCTGGCGAGCCCGCTCAAACGAACGTCTGATTCGCAGCCCCATACTCGTCGGCCCCGACGGCGTTGCGCGGCGGTGGCGGCCCCGAGGGCTGCGGCCTGACCATGCGCGCGCTGACCCGCATCCCCGAGCTTCTTCTGCGAAAACTGAAAGGTGCCCACGCAACCCTGCGCAGATCGCATGCAACGCTGTCCAAACCCTCGTCGCGCGCCGTGGGTTCGACCTCTCTGGGCCCAACGCTATCGGTGACATTGCTGAACCGTTGCGTCGCAACCCGAGGCGGCCGCCGCCGTCACAGTCGTCGTGTTCCACTTGATTGCGTCGGCCACGCTGCGCGCTAGGCCGACGGCCACGCGGCACCTGTTCCCGCGCGCGGCCGAGCGTCTTGCCCACGGCGGCCCCAGCGCGGACCAGCGAATCGCTGCAAGCAAGGATTGGAGGAACTGCGGTGCACGCAGAATAGCGCCGTGGCAGAGGACCTTGTCTTTTCGCACAACGACAGCCCCACTGTCCGAAATCGGCACCCCGACGCCGCCCGATCGCACCCCGCCTGAGGCCCCCAGCTCCACGCCGAGCGAAACGAGCGCGCCCGCTGCGAAGCGGTGCGTGTGGGGGGAGGGGGGGGGGGGGGAGGGGTGGGATTCGGCAGCGGTGCACAGCGCCCAGAAGTGGCTCATGGCCCAGCAAGTCCCCGAGCCCGCGCTACCCGCCAGTGGCCGCAACAGTGGCCGAGCAGCACGCCGCCAAGCCCAAAGTGGCAAGCCACCCACCGAGTCGCCGACGCACCCACCGCGATGTTGGAGCCACCTTCAGCCGCTCATTGGTCGCAGCATCAGCGATCCGCCCGCGCCTCCAGGCTGCGGACCCCTTCGCCGTTCGCAGCGATGTTTCGGGCGACCCCCTGCACCTTTGGGCACCGATGTAGCCATCGCCTCCGCGGCACGCAGACGTGCGCGGCGATCGCCGACGGCCGCTGCGTGCGCCGACTCCGATCGCTCAAGCCTGTCACCCCCATCATCATCGCAGCCCTCCACAGCCCATCCCCCCTCCTCGCCCATCCCCCACCCCCATCGTCCACCACCCCCCCCCGCAGCGCGCCCCTCCACCCCGCCCCCTCCCCCCGTTCGCATGCTCGCCCGGGTCGCCCCCCCCGCCCCGCCCCTCTCGTCGCACCCCGCTCCCCCCCACCCCCACCCACCCACCCCCACGCACTCCCCCGCCCGCCCTCGTCGCCCCCGCCGCAGTCGCAACCGCCGCTCCCAGCAACCGCGCCCAGCCGCGCGCGGTGGGGGGGGCTGACGGCGGGCGCGGCGGAGGGGCTCGCACTCGCCGCAACCAGCGCCGTCCACTGACGGATTCTCAATCGAACGCCTGCCGCGCGACTTCGACCGCGGGCGCCGCGCGCGGCCGCGCAAAGCCCATCGCGCAGCTGGGGCAGCGCGCGCACCAAAACAACGCCCGCCGACGTCGCTGCCACGACGCGCCCCATCTGCCCAGCCCGCGGCTCCGCGCCACCACGCGCGAAGCGGCGCGAAACCCGCGCAATATTGTTGTTGCGTGGCGTTGCGAGCTCACCGACTCCATCTGTCTCGGGCCGACCCAAATTGCGCCGCCGCGCCGCGCTAATCGCCTCGGGGGCACGCCCCGTCAATTTGTCACGCGCCGCCCTGCGAACTGGCGGGGTCGCGCCGCTCGGGGCCGCGGGTATTTCCGCGGCAACGGCGCGCCCACGCCGCGGCCGCTGCGCGCCTCAGCGCGAGGTCGCGCCCCGAACGCGCGCGCCCGCGTTCGTTCCTCTCATGGGAACGTTGCAGCCGACCCCATGGCCCGCCCGCAAGCGCCACCGACGGGCGCCCCCCCCCCCCCCGCCCACCCCTAGCACGTTGCCCGCGCCCATCGCGCGCCCGCCCCAGCATCGACCGCCCACCTTGGCAAGCCCTCCAACCAAACGCGCAGATATGACGAGAATGGCGCGCAGCCCCTCGGGCGGCGCTCGCTCATTCGCCCGCGCGGCGCCGCTCTGCCGCGCCGCGAACGCGCTGGGCGGCCGCGGCTGCAAATCGGCCCCCGCAGCGCCTCGCGCGTGGGAACGACGGGAAGGCTGGAATGGCGCGCTGGCGGCAGTTGCTCAACGGTGCGGGCGGCCGACTTCGAGAG